ACCATGGCTGGAGGAAAATCAATGTCTTTTTAAATGGATACCATATATGTTAAAAAGTAAATTGACCTTTTTTCATGGCTTTGTCAATTTCATGCCACTTTTATTCAATTCTACTTGGTCAAATAATTTTTAGTACCCTCCGAGCCCCTCTGAGAAAACTGTTTCAGTGGTTACTAATGATTCATTAGCCAGCGTTTCAACAGGGATATCCTTGAACCATAGCAACACTAAGAATTATGTTTGTTCTAACATATCTGTTATATTAGTCAGCTTTGGGTTATTTTCTATGGGAATCTCAGAAATGATTTGAATAGGTTCAGGATATCTCTGAATTTTCATATTATTTTATAGCCCCCGGCTGCATTTTATGGCTATCTATTAAATGTTTCATTTTTTCAAATAACTTTTCCAAATAGTCTCAGTTTCCCATCCAAGTGAAATCAGGCAAATACCCAAACATCTACTGTTCAGCAAGTTATAGCTAGAGCAAAATCTCAAATTAAAAAAAAAATAAAAGAAACAAAGATAAAACACTTTTGGAAAAAAAAAATCCTGAATAAAATACCGGCATGCTCTGAAATACACTTATCTGACCTTTCACTATATCTATTCTTGGTAGGACATGCTTTCAACTTTTAATTGGACCTTTTTTCATAATTGTTGCCATTTAGCACATTTAGTCTGTCAAATCATGGGATATCTTTATAGCCATATAATAAACCCTGGAGAACAACTTCTCTGACTGTAGCCATCTGCAATGATCACAAGAGGAGCTTACAGAATACTGACAGTCTTTATGGTAATAGGATACATATGGCAGCCCACAATTATGTGTAGCTGCATTCAATTAGTGTTGTACAATTACACAGTTTTATTGCTTAGTTAAAACAGTGAAAGCACTACATACTGGGTAATTTGCACTAATCCCCGTCTCTTTAATAGCCCCTCGGTGCTTAAAATGTGGAGGAACATCTATAGTATTTAAAGGACCTGGGTGAACATTAAATTATATCTCATGTTGTGAATACTCCTTGACTGACAATTAATGTACTCCCACTTCACGTGTGGGTCATATTTTATAGAGGCTTTAAAATACAGTTATAGCAAAAAGTTCTTCCTACACCAGAACCTCACCTGCTGGATGAGACAGTCTGCGTCTCCTGCAGGAGAGACGCAGACAGTCTCATCCAGCCTGTTAATGTCCTTTCTGAAAGACGGTCAGGAGGAGAGATTCTCAGGGAGAAGTCAGAATCGCTTCACACAGTAATAAAAGCCAAGGACTCGGCATTTTCAACGTGAACTTGTAAAAGCCTTTTCGATTTTTAACTTTTAATTAAAAACTTGTTCAAAGTGAATTTATAGCTGCCATTTAGGAAAAGGCTTTGTAGAAATGGTTTTGCAAGGATGTGTGTGGGCATACATGTACACACTTGAGACAGCTATATTTAGCAATCTGTGATTGTTAACAAAGTTTGAATTACATTTTCCAGTGGCCTCTCTCATGTTCCTCTGTAATCGACTTGGTAAGAGACGAGGGTGATTATAACTCAGGTTGCAGTAGGCACTCATAGTGAGACCCAGTTGTGAGGTGCCTCATTATCCCACTAAGGAAAAGGGCTCTCTCATTGGAGGAGACGAAACACTGGAATATATTTTTCTCCATCCTTCTCCCAAAGTGTTGACAGAGAAAAACACAAAGTAACCTTGTTTCCTGCCCTGCCTGACAGTAAGTTAAACAGAATTCCAAACTAGAGACCTAGACATTTATTCACCTGCAAAAACATTTCGTTGAAGCATTTCTAATACACTTGTGTCTAGATATGTTTTCAATTACATGGAGTAGGCCTTTGTCTCTAAGCTCTTATTGTCTCTCCTAACCATCACATGAACCTCCTTATATGTTCATGAAAATTCTACTATACTGTTTTCAATGCAAAAATAGTACAAGTGACTAAAGAGAAATGAAAAGAAACATTCAAATGATAAATTCTGTGTATTTTATTGCCATGGTTTTGGATTTTTCAGAAGTGCTATTACTTTTAGGTAATCATTTTTTAGGTAGGATTCTTAATGCTTTCTTTTTTTTTTTTTTAGTTACTGGTACTTTGAACTATTCTGCTCATCTGTATTGAATATAATTGATGTATGTCTATATGGTAGATAGAATTTCTATTAAAATGTAAATGTTCAAAAATAAAATATTTGCTCCATGTAAGAATTATATCATCATATTAAGAACTAAAATGGGACTTATAGCTGAGTCATCAACATCTGCTTTTGTCAAACTTTTGAATAATGTTTGGTGATAGATGTACTAGGTTTGGAAAAAAAACTACCAAGTTCCTACATAAATGGGGTTAATAAATCAAAATCTGCACAACCTCACAAAGCATGCATCATGAATATTTAGATCTAGCAGTATATCAAAGCAAAAGATTACTTTGCATTTTACAAAAGTTATTGGTAGGGAACCAGCAGTTGGCGTGATGGCTGTGTCGCTGGACTCCCACATAGTCGACCGCGGTTCACGTCCCGGACCCGGTGGCTTAAAACTTCACGCCAGGCGTGTGTGCGTGCATGCCCAGGATCCCTAGAGGAGAATGGAGGAGAAGGGATTGCGGCGTGACCATCCCCCCTGGGGGGTGATTTCTCGCTTTCTGTCTCTAATGTCTCTCTCTGTCTGTCTGGCGAGTGCACGCGCCCTATAGTGAAAATCTCTCAAAAAAAAAAAACAAGTTATTGGTATGAGACCAGCAGATGGCATAATGCTTACATTGCTGGACTCCAACATAGTTGACTGGAGTTTGAGTCAGGAACCCAGTGGCCTAAAACTCACGCCAGGCACATGTGTGTATATGCCCAACATCCTGAGAGGAGAAGAGGAGCAAGGATTGCAGTGTGACCATCCCTCCTGGGGAGCGATTTCTTGCTTTCTATCTCTCTGTCTCTGGTGAGCACACATGCCCTATAGCAAAAATCGCTCTAGAAGAAAGAAAGAAGAAAGAAAGAAAGAAAGAAAGAAAGAAAGAAAGAAAGAAAGAAAGAAAGAAAGAAAGAAAGAAAGAAAGAAAGAAAGAGAGAGAAAGAAAGAAAGAAACTAAATGCAATTAAGGAAGTAGACAATTCTTGACTGGGAAATAAGTTAGACAATCATCTAGAGGTCTTCATTTCAGATTTTTTTTCATGAAAAACATTTATAATTTGAATGACAAGAATGGCTCACATGTAAAGACTACAATTTAGAAATTTATTTTGCCTGAGAATATGGAGACCCAAGATGATATTGTGTTTTGTAATTCTGATGCATCAAAGTTCCTAATTTAAACCTGTTTTGTGGTGACCAGCACTGAAGAGCTACTTCATTAAGTAGGGGGAGTATCCATCCCAGATGACAACTGGGTAAAGCCATATCTGTGAGGGCTGCATGGCTGTCTTTGCCTTAATAACCCACATTCAGATGACCCAACAAGTATTTCTCTGTCTGTCCCAGAATAGCCAAACTATTCATGATCAGGAGCCCTTGGAGAAAAGACTACATGTAATGAGTGTGGAAAGGAAGTAGACTAATATTTCCCGCCCGGGAAAGACAGTTTCTCCAGAGAGGAGATTCTGTCTACCTACCTATGCCAAAACAGTTGCATCCAAATGCTCATTGCTGATATTGCAGTTCAGCTGGCCAAACATCCGCACTTTCTACTGCAATGGAATGCAAAGTTAATCTATTTTTCCTGAAGGAAGACAGCCATGGCATGTGATCGGTAGCAATGCTCCTGATGTGTGGAGAAGTATCTTGCTGTGCAAGGGGTCTGAACGGCTGCAGCAAGTAACAGATGATCACAGGGTGACAAGAGAAGAGCATGCAAGCCTCAACTTCTTGTTGGATGAACTATTTTGATGTACATGGAAAAGTGTGCCATTTCCTTGAGGCATCTCTTGGAAATTGCCTTTGCTAGAAATACTAGCCTTTTATTGTAGTTTTCTTTTTTTTTTTATCCTATTGATTCCAAAGGAGGACACTGAGAATTCTCATTGCCCTTTGATCTTTTCTTTGAAATAAAAGAAGTTGTTTGGGATATTTTTTTTGAGCAGATCCATTTGGTTTGATCATGGGCTAGAATTAAAGGAGTTTAAATACTTGCCTAGAGTCACCTGCATCCTTTTCTTGATTTGTTGGGTGAAAGACTGGAGACTTTTACTACCTTAATAAGGAAACATGGACAGAACGCTGACTCTGCACCTGATAAATCTCTCTGAATTGTCACAGGTGAAGTGAAATGTTAATATCCCTTTCAATTATTAATAAAAAATGTAAACAGATCTTGTTAGAAATGTGAGGCACTTAGTATATGTGTAGGAGTTTTTTAGTTCAGTTACTGAAGAACTGTATTTTTAAAGCTTCTTACATATTAAAATGAAAAGTAATCCATTGTAGAAAAGGTCAAATTTTGACACTCAAAAGTAAAAAAAATTAAAAAATTAAAAAAATAAAACAAACAAAAAAAACCCCCACAAATTCCAATAGTCCTGCCACCTAGACAGATACATCAACATTTGTTCACTCAGACTTTTTTCCTTGCATGTATTATGTTTTAAAGGACATTTTATACAAACCAACCTGAAATCTGTTATCTTTACTTCCCACACATGATTCATTTTAATAATCTTTAACCTACGTAGCCATTTTAATGGTCATGTGGCATTTTAATGGTCATCTCACGTTATGAAGGTTATCATAATTTATTCAACAAATTTCTATTTCCTCTCCATGTTTCCAATTTTGGAGTTATCTAAATATTAATATATAATATATATACATATATGTCTCTGTGTGTGTGTGTATACACACAATCTCTACACATACACATATCCTTACATAATTACCTTTTTTAAAAAAAACCTTTATACATATTAAACCTACATCACACTGTCTCTCATTTCTTCAAGAAAAAACTTTTGAGCTCTTGGTTTTAAGGTGATTGTGTTTTATATTTCTATTTTAGGTATATGAACACCAAGACGGCAGCAAATCATTGAAGCTGGGTGACTTTGGACTGGCCACCATTGTGGATGGCCCCCTGTACACAGTTTGTGGCACCCCGACGTATGTGGCTCCAGAAATCATTGCAGAGACTGGGTAAGTAATGCTTCTCTTATGTTTATGTGCTGTCCTTGCAAACAAATGAACAGACAAAAAACTAGCCTGCTCTAAGAATATGGAAAATAGTAATGCTTTGTCCTGTCGAGACAGAATTAACCATCATTAACTATTAGGTTTCTTTCACTTTTTTTTTTTTTTAACTTTTACACTGGGAGCCATTTTCTCTGTTTTCTCAAGAAAGTTGCCAATTATTGCAATCTTGTTTGAAGCTTCCATTTAGCCTTTGTTAAAGGTAGAACAGATGTAATAACCTCAGCGTGAAAAATGTTCAGACTAACAGAAACGAACAACGATGATATTTAACTTATTTTTGAAGATAAAAGAGACAGACATTATTGTGCGTAATGATCACAGTCTCTTGGTTCTTCTCTCAGCTGACATCATACTCTAGACCTGGTCCCAGTGTGGCTCTCTTAGCAATCCATTGATTTTCTGTGGAGCGAAAACACTCTAGGCATCAGCAGGGCACTGGAAATTTGCTGAGTTCTGTGTGCAGTACTGGGTGAATGAAAATCTCCACCCTAGAGTGGGAGAAGATGGGGTAGTCTGTATGTCAGACCTTACATTCATTGACTTAATTTTTATTCTTCTGGTTGGCTTTAGAGTTCCATTTTTTCACATAAAAGAACTATGACGCTGATGGGTTAAGTATCATGTATGCTCAAGACTACTTAGGGGCTAAGGCAGGATTTGAACTCAAGTTGGCCTGAGAAGACTCAGTTGGGCTCCTGAAGACCTTAGTTGGAGCCCAGTTCTACCACTGACTAGTTGTTTAATCTTAACAAAATTATTTCAACTCTCTGAACCTCAGTTTTCTCTTCAAAAAAATAGGCAAGATATGTCCTCTCCAACCAACACAGGTGATGGAAAGATAAGATAAGATAATGTATGTCAGTTCTTTGGAACTTAGAAAATATTCTAAGAATGAGTATGTTATTCCTAAAATTAAGGAGTTAGATAGTCTTAGGAGTCTATCACTATCTTAACATTTATATTATAAATCTGTAATAAGTCTTTTTCTGAAACCCTTTTTTACTGATTCTGGATAGACATACACTACATTGGTACCTTAGTCTTTACATTTTTAAAAAATGATTATTCTTTCCTTGAACTCTGTTTAGCTAGTGGGTTTATTGTTGGGTTTTTAATCCTGTTTGGTTTTATTTTGGATTGGAATAGAAGAGCCATCTATTTTAACATGCGCCATAATTTGTCCTGGCCTAACTTTGCTAACTCCTAACATCACTTATTTTTCCAGATATGGCCTCAAGGTGGACATCTGGGCAGCTGGTGTAATCACTTACATCCTGCTGTGTGGTTTCCCTCCGTTTCGAGGGTATGGGCAGCAATCTTTTATTCAGCATCAACAAAGCATTTCTCTATTCTCTAAATGATCCATGTGTCCTTCGTGCACAAAGGAGCCTGCAGAGGGAAGAAAACATAATAAGAATTTAACTTGCAATGCCTGCTATTTTTTCCGTCTTGTGCATGCTAATTTATATGCCTTCCATAAATCTTTTGCATATAGTTTTAAAACTCATTCTTACTTACTTTACCAAAAGAGTTCCATCTTGACATTGTCAATTGCTTAAAAACATACATTGTACACATTTATGGGGAAGGGAAGGGCTTCAATGTATAGGAGTGAAGTGACATACCCCGAGTTGACATTTTAGTACTATTTTTTTCCTTGTTGTCATTCATCTAAACAGAAGTGGTGATGATCAGGAGGTGCTTTTTGATCAGATTTTGATGGGGCAAGTGGACTTTCCTTCTCCATACTGGGATAATGTTTCGGATTCTGCAAAGGTAGGTTTAGACTGCCTTCCCCTTATATGTGGCTTGTGTAGTCTTAATGGAATTATTGATTCTCAATCATTTTGTGCAAAGAGACTAATGATATCATAAATATGATTTCTGTACACATTTTAGCTGTGATTACTAGATGTTCCAAGATTTTGCAGACATAGGTCATCTGTTCATGCCCATCCCAATAAGTACCCAGCAAGTGTCCCTGCCTCCCTGGCTGTCAGTCTAATTATATTGCTACAGCCTTTTACCAGACCCCACTCTCACCAAGCTTGTGCCCACCTCAGGTTTCTGCATAGTGTATTCCTTCACCTTTCTCAGGTCTTGGCTTAAAGTCATCCCTTAAGGAAAGCCCTACCAGATCATCCTGTTTCCTGTAGCTCTTACGCCTTACATGATTTGTCTTATCCTTGTCCGCTTTATTCTTCTCCTTAGCACTTCCACCCTTATGGTCATCTGGTATGCCACCTTACTATACCTATCTACAGTTGGCCCTCCATATCCTTGGCTTCCATATCTATAGATTCAAACAGTCACAGATAAAAAAATACTCAAAAAATAAATAAATGATTGGTCATGTTTGTACTGAATATATGCAAAGTTTTTTCTTGTTATTTACTAAATGATATCATATAGCATTCTTCATATAGCATTTACATTGTGTTAAATAGCGCAAGTAATCTAAAGATGATTTAAAGTATATGAGAAGTTGTGAGTAGGTTATATGCAAATGCTATGCCATTTTATATAAGGGACTTGAGCATCTGCAGATTTTTGTATCTGTACCTTCCTATGTGGATAAACAGATAGCCATAGATAAGTGGATAGGTCTTACTTATGTGGACTATTTCCATATTCTCCCCAGGAGAATAGTGATGCTTCAAAAGCAAGGATTTTTGTTTATTTTGTTCATTGATATATCATTAGTGCCTAATAATGTCCAGGACACAACTAGTGCTCAATATATATTGAACATCTGACTAAATATATGAATGAGTGAATCAGTTGAAGGGAAGAAAGCTCAACCTCAACATAGGTTGAAGTGATCAAGAAAAAGTTTACGGGGAAGCTATGATTTAAGGAGAACTTTGAAAGAAAGGATTTAAAGGCAGAGGGGAGCAAAGCGTGTGATTTTTATCTGACTAAACTAAGTCAAGCTCCGGGAAGATGATGATTGTTGCACAACAATGTAAATGTACTGGATATCAATGAACTATATATTTTAAAATGGTTACTATGATACAGTTTATGACTATTTTACCACACTTTTAAAAAATAATAATAGTTCAACCTCTAAGAAAACTATAAAAATCTTACGTTGAGATATTAGTGAACTTTGGGGAGAAAACAGAAAAACTTTTCATTGATCTCTTTTAAATTTATATTCTGATTTCAAGCACCAACTTACTTTTTTGAAAGTCTGAGGATGAGAAAAAACTATCTTTTGATTTTTAATGTGAATGCCTTTCTATCTCCTGAGTATGAGCTCAATTCAAAACCCAACCCTTTAGACCTGACCGCTTTGCACAGAAAATGATGCATATTGGGCACAAGTATTTTGTTTTATTCAACTATCCCGTAACCCAGCTCCTGACTTAGGAAAATGTAGGAATTGAGAAGTATGACAGATTAGGCGCAAGGTGAAAGAAGATGGGATGATACAGTTGCAGGGGTGGAATGGAGGTGTTTTTAGCTATAACCAGGCTCTTCAGGAACCAGCGCAACTCCCAGTGCTATCAGTTCATCACCTGAGAGCGTATAGTGAAGGGCAAAGAGTACCATCTCCTTTGTCCCCACAGCTCCTGGGAAAAGGGATCAGGCATAGTGGTTGTTTTAATAAGTCATGATTTGATTCAGGAAGCAAATGAAGAAAGCAAAGATAGATTCTCTATGCAAGTAAAACAAACCACTCCCATACCTAGCGTTACTCAGAGCCTATGTATAGAAGGACCTGGATAATGCATATCTAACCATTTTGTTACGTGGGAACTTCTAGTCCAAAGGAGACAAATGTATGACAAACTCATTGTTAAGAACAGAGCTGTGCCTTCCTGGTCCAAACCAATTTAAGTTTGAAAGGAAATTTCATAATTTCCAAACCATTTGCCTCTTCATAGTTCTATTTTATTTGTATTGATTAGTCTGGAATTTGGGGGAGCAATTTTACTGTATTTCCTTGCAATTCTTTGGCTCCTAAGAAATAGTTTTATTTTGTCGAGTATTAGGTCATCAGGAAAGTCATGACCTTTTTTGGTACAGAAAAATATGTCATGACTTTCCCAACCACCCAATAGCTGTTAGCAATACTGTCTCTCGTCATTTTTTTCTTTCAAATCTAAAAATGCCATCTTGAAATTAAGGGGAAAATCCTTTTTTTCCTTTCTCTTGCCAAAGAAAAAAATTAAAGAGTTTTTAAACTGATTTCTATATTAAATTAATTAAGAAATGCATCTTTAAAGAATGAAACCCTAGACAAAGAAAGGAATGCTAATTCTTTAACTTGTACTGTTTGTCCCTTTTCTGTTAAAAATGTTTTTATGACATTTATCCTAGTACTATTTTATTTTTTTCTATCAACCACAAGCTATGTGTTTACAATTCCCAATGTTCACCTTCCCTTTAACTTTTAAAGGAGCTATTCAGGTAGCCATGGGCAAGTAGAGTGGACATATTTAAGGTCTAGAGCTTTTCCAAATACTTTTTCAAACTAAAAGAGAACACTTCTTGCAAACACCCAGCCTTTTGCCTTAAAAGTTAGGGTAAACGAACTCAAATGTTCTCCTTCACAGGAGCTCATTACGATGATGCTGCTGGTGGATGTGGATCAGCGATTTTCAGCCGTGCAGGTCCTGGAGCACCCCTGGGTTAATGTAAGTGATTGGCTTCCTTCTCTATATTCACTGCTAATATTCCTTTAACACTCATCTGCAGATTTCCTAATGATGTCGCCTCCTTTTTAAAGTGTTAGGATTGGCTCCATTCCTTCTCAAATTTCCTGGACAGTTACAGGATCTCAGACTTGTTCCATGAGGGTATCTGAGGTACCCATTGCATCTGATTCCAGTGGGATTGTCTTCTAAGTGCACGTGGCTGCTACCCTCCACCTCCTCACCTTTAATAAATAAAATTAATAAATCTCTTTTTTAAGCCTAGTCCAGATGTGCACTGAATAATCATCAGTGAGCTAGAGCAGATTTTCTGAGTCAGTTCTGCTTTTGTGTCATCCCTACCTAAAATATAAGTGACCTAAGGGTTTCTACAGACATCTTGGAGCGCTGTAGCTGAGTGCTTCTCAAACTTGCACGTGGCCACACATCACCTGGAGTCCCCATTAAAATGCAGATTCTCATGCAGTCAGTTTGAGGTGCTTCAGTTCTAAAACCTCTAGATGCTGACTGCTCTATGGGAACAAAGGACTAATAACACTTCCTTAGCTTTTGAGGAATTCTCCAGGGCGGAGTCATTAGTTTTTAACCCTGTATCTCTCTATAACTGACTAATAGTATTTGTTTGGATGAATAATAACCGTTAATACATATAGAGTGCTTAACTTCTAGAGTCTGACCGTGCTATTTAAGCACCCTACATCTGTTAACTGTATGTTTTCCAATGGCTTTATAACTTTGTAGCCTAATTACTGTTGTAATCCCCTCTGACAGATGGGGATGCTCCATAATTAGGTTTAATGGTTCTTACTGCCAGAATATAAAACAGATAGAGATTTCGATATAGATATGGACATGGACATAAAAACAGGCCATCAGGGTCAGCCATTGGCATGGTGGTTAAGGTGGCTCAAGTCCTGCACTCAGAGGCTTGTAAAACAGGTTGGGTGCATATGGATGTGTGCTCAATATCCCAAGAGGAGAAGGGATTGCCATGTGACCATTTCCTTTGTGAATTCTTTCTCATCTTTCTGCCCCTTCCCTCCAGCTAGTGCATGTACCCTAAAGCAAAATTTTTAAAAAGAAAAAGGGCAATTATAAAATTGTCAGCTCACTAATGTAAGCTTCGCTAGCCTCCCTACTGAACGGAATGGTCTGGCTGTAAGTTAAAGGCAGCAAGATGTTCCATGTCTCTGAATTGGCACCTTGCTGAATTACCAAGTGACATTTGAAGACTAATTATTGAGAACAAGCCTTGATTAAAAGCACAGTAAACATGTGAAGTGACTGTGTGTGAAGTGACAAGAACTTGGGATCTCACCCAAATTCTGCCACCTAATGACCATGGACCTAGGTTTCGACGTTTTCCACATTTGAACAGGATTCTTCATACTCCACTGAGACATTACATATACATTACAGGAGGGTAGAGATGAATATTAGCGTGCAGAGCTATGCAGCTAAGGTTTAGTCTTCATGTAGCAGTGCTTCCTGCCTGATATACGAATATGCAAAGACATTAATCCCCTTAGCCCCTGGGATAGTGGGAAGGGCAGCCAGCATCCAGCAGTGGTCACTTCCAGCCTCAGCAGCCTTTGCCATTTACTCCAGAGTGCTAAGCAAAAATTATTTTTCTATCCCCTTTCAGTTGCTATAATGGAATAGCTGATACTGGGTAATTCAAAAGAAAAGAGCTTTGCTTATGGATTGTCAGAAAATTCATGACACATTTTTGCATAGAAAAATACAGAACAATGTGTCATGACTTTGCTGACAACCTAATAGCTCATGGTTCTGGAGGCTGGGAAGTTCAAGACCACATCTTGCTGGCTTCTTGTGAGGGCTGTATGCGGTGTAGTAGTGTGGCAGGTACCATCACACAGTAGGAATGCATGTGAGTGCAAAGTCAAAACATGAGGGGCACCTCACCCTGTGACTCTCAAGAAAACTAATCCATTCCCAAAATAACTAATCCAGTCTCTGGGGAACTAGCCTATTCCTCCCAATAAAACATGAATATGTCATCTCCCAAAATCGCCATACTGAGATCAAGCCTCAATGTGAGTTTTGGAGGGAATAAACTGTCTTCAAACCACACCAGTTAGGAAACATCTCATTTGGCGTAATGATAAGCTTACAAGACAGAGAGAGTGGATATTATGATGCTCAGTTTACAAATTAGAACACTGAGGCCATGGGGAGAAAGTACTCAAAGTACCTAAGCTAGTGGGTGAGCCAGAATTTGCAGCCCGGAACCTTCGCTCCAAGTCCAGGTGCTTTAAAGTCCTATGTGCCACACTACGTCCATACATAGATACTGTGTTGTCATGCCTCGTGTCCCTCTACTACGCGTGAGAGCACTGTGCATACTGTGAAAGAGTACAGCATGGACATCGGCACCAATGTAACGGTCATTAATACAAGGAAGAACCTTCCCAAAGCAGCATCCTCGGGCACGGTGCCCTCCCTTAGGTGTGTAGTCAAAGAGGCACAAGCCACCAGCAGGCTCTCTTGGCGGCAGCAGTTGGTTCTGATCTATGTGAGCAAATGACACACCTATGGTCCACAAATTGTCAAAGTCCATGTTCCACAAGCCCTGGGAAGACTGATGCAGAGTGACCACACAGACTATGCAGAAAAATCTAAATTTGAAATGTGGCCTTGAAGACTCACAAAGAGCCATCAAGGAAAGAAATTCATAGACGACAGCAGCCGTTTTAGATTTCTAAATGCCTGTTCATCAGAGGACTGCTGCCCACCAGACCCTCACCTTTAGGTATCAATGTCTGATACAAGTGGACAGTGGCAGGGAGAGGGCCACCCAAGGCCACATCTATGGAGAGGGTGCCATGTGAGGTTTTCCTGAAAAGGAGATGTCAGTTCTTAGTTTTGGAGGAGACTGGGAAGAAAATACCAGCAGAATCAGCCCCAGCAGGATGTGGATATTTGCCAGAAGACAACTTTGTGAGGGAGAATGAATTTGTCTATCTCCATGAGGGATCTGGAATGCTCTTGGAAACAGTATAATCTCTTACTCTGATTGCAGATCAGATGGCCCTATACCATAATATCCCAACTCAATTAGGATAAAGAAACACAATTAAGAAGGCCGTTACCTTTACAAAGCTAGGTTGTTCATTTAGCTAGAGCAACGTAGTCATGTCTCGGCGGCAACTGTCTGCCTCCTTAACCTGCTTTGTACACGTTTTTACACATGGTCCCACTTTGCTGATAATTAGGTTCCATGGCTCCCCCTGGAACTTGGACTTCTGCTGTCACTTTAATTTTGCCTCTCAGATTCCCTAAAAACACTTCCTAAAAGCAAACATAGCATTTATGTAATCATCTAGGAGATTAAAACTAAAAGAATAGCCTTTATATCATTCAAATAGACTTTGCATTTTAAAAGAAAAAATGTATATACTGGTTTTAGCAAAAACTTTTAAAAACTTCCTAAATAAAAATTTTAATTTTAATAATTAAAAAATTAGTTTTATGGAATGACTAAATCAGAAAATGGATTTTTTTTGTCTCAAAAAAATAAATTTTATAAAGTTTTCACAACAAGCCTTTATGGTTGAGACTGAGTACAACAAATGAACAACCAAGCAATCAAGATGAATAAAATAGGAATTTAAAAAGGTATCCATTTAAGAGGACATTTTGCATTTGGCAATCAAATTATATCTGATCACCACAAAGGACGCTGCCTAAGGGGGAGAAAAGTAATAATAATTACATGAACCCTAAGGAAGTCATCAAAAAAGCTCTTCCTGTGTTCTCATTAGTTCTAATTTTCTCTATTGCTTATACAATGACCTTTTCACCTGGCACACTTGGAATTGAAAAGGCAGTCTCTTATGAAACAGAGTAAAGCATAAGGGCAATAGAATCAAAAACTCTGGGCAGCAAAAGTCACCGCTTTAACCTCACTCCAGGAGCTTCCTCTAAACTCACAGGGTTATTTTTCATACTCTCCGGTTTAAACCCACTGTGCTCCTTGGTATCCTCAGCCTCTGCTCTGTTGCATCTTTTCTCCCTTGAACCTGTTTTCTTATCTTGGAAACGGAGAAAATAGGATGGAATCTCTGCTTAGTATGAGAATGGAGAGGAGTCTATACATCCGAAAGGCCAGAGAAGACAATCTTAAGCCCTAGCTCCTACTTAGTAAGAACTTGGGGAATTTGAGTCTGAGAAAGGCAGTAACTCCATTGTCCACAGCTAAGGGCTGATGAAATGCAAATTCACCAGGGTTAGTTATGAGTAGCTTTGATTAAGGAAGAGAACTCTTGCGAAAATGATCCTGTTTGTGTACCACAGGCTCCCTGTAGATAATACAGGCATTGCTGTCTCCGGTATCACAGCTGCTTCCTTTAATGGAAGAACCTACAAAAATTGGCAGCTAAGTTCATTTACCTCATTATGTGTCTAATGGAGAACTATATAATTTAGGCAATATAAAAATGGACTAGGTGGGGCCAGCAGGTTGGATAGTGGTTAAAGCACTAGACTCCTACATAGCTGACCACGGTTCAAGTCCCCGATGTGGTGGTATTTGCTTTCTCACTTTCTCTCTCTCTCTCTCTCTCTCTCTCTTTCTCTCTCTCTGATGAGTACACATGCCCTATAGCAAGTTAAAAATAATAATAATAAATAAAATCAATAAATAATTCTCTTTTTTAAAAAAGCAATGGAATATATTAGGTTATAATATTCTTGATTAATCAGGAACTAGGGAAAGGTTTGAGTCACTTGATTCCAAATGATTCTATTGATAGAAAGTGTACGTTAGTAGGGCCAGCAGGTGGTGTAGTGGTAAAGACACTGGACTCCCATGTGACCAACCCCAGTTTGAGTCCTGGACCAAGCAGCCTGAGACTCATGAGTGTGCATACATGCCCAAAATACCAAGATGAGAATGGAGGAGAAGGGATTGTGGTGAGGCCATCCCCACTGGGGGCCAGGAGTGATTTCTCACTGTCTCC